GGCTTCCAGAGACAGAGTACCTCACGCCAATCAAAAGCCCATTATACAGGCCCAAGGTGCCGGAAGCGTCGTCTGATTTTCTTCACTGCATGCAGCACCTCATCTTTGACTTGACCCTCAGTTCGGCTTTGTGCTCTCTTCGCCCTATACTTTTCTTTCTCACATTTACTTCACGCACGCATCGACTCGCGTAATAAGTATGTCGCGACGGACTTCAGGTCGAAGGAAAGGACAAGGGAATATCAGCGGACTCTGCTCAGGCCGAAGTGTTGCATAACACGTCATACAACATACAAGCAAATATATTTTTCTATATAAGAATCTCTTATGTGTGTCCTCTTCTGATGTATCATCCGAACACAGGCGCACTCGTCTCGGTCCACTGATTCCGAATCCGTCATCAGAATTGAAAAATATTCACTACAGCAAGAGTAATCAATGATTAAAAATAAGCCCCTTTTCGAAAGAGTTCTCGCGAGTGGACAGGCCCCGGCGCTCCGCTCGATCGCTTGAAATTGTTAATATGGTTGCATGGCAACGCCTAGGGGAATTTTATATCATATAATAAAGCTATCGAATTCAAGAAATTTGAAAATACCAACGAAATAATAAATGTAATTAGCAATGAGGTTGCGATTTGAATTAATTAAATAGATTTTCACAATTTGATGATGACAATAACCTAAAATTCAGAAAAATTTCATAGTTGAGCGTGCTTTTTTTCAAGAAATGAGGGCGATAACGTCCTTGCTCGCTATGAATAAAAAAAAATTAAAATTATATCGACAGTAAGATTAATTTTGTCCTGATAGAATTCCCGGTATGCGAAGCTGAAAACTCGGAGCTATGTAAAACTTCTGAATCGATCGTCGGCTTTCAGAGCCTCGATTTTTTTTCTCATGAGCACTAAAATACCGAACATAGATTCAAATGATTATTACATCTCTGGCTCAGAGTTTGAAAGTTGCACGTGCAGCAGATCAGCAGAGAAGGTTGGAAAGTCAATCTCAAATAACACTAATGATTTTCTTCAGGAATTTGAGACTCTTAGGTCGACGCTGTGCCAAGTAGTTGTTGTTCGAGCGATGTAAAAATCGAAAATCGATCGTTGGCTCTCACATCTTCATGCTTTTCTCTCCGACGAGCTCAAGAGTACCCAAGTCGATGACAAATGAAATTTGTAACTCGGCTCGAAGTATGACAGTAGTCAGTGGAGCAGGTCTCGTTTACTTAGCGTTTTTTTGCGACCATGTATGCAACAAAATATTCGAGAACAAGGAAGTCATGACTGAGGCTCAGAGGTCGATCACAAATGGCACTTACAATTTTCTCCAATAATCTGAGACTCTCAGGTCGACGTTGAGCCGAGTATTCGTTGTTGGAGCAATGTAAAATTCGAGTATCGACCACCGAGCTTAAATCTACGTCCCCTGGCGAGCTCGAGCTACGCGCTTTCATGAATCGTTTTTTAACTCTTCAGATTAAAAATCAGTTTTAGCCAGTTTAAACCAGTTTATAAAAAATTCACTCATTTTTTCTCGCGCATCATCAAAGTGTGCATACAAATCTATACGTTTTTTTTTCTTCTTCACCCCATGTGGACACTCATCGGTAACCGTTGGTCACATATTGCTGTCGTTTCCTCCCGAGTTAAGTATTAGAACTGGCTGCCCAATGCCGTTTTGTGAGTGTGGTTCTCGCTTCTGACTTCATCATGGAAGTGTTGTGCTTCTTCTATTGCCAGCCTTGTGAGTCCTCGCCTCCGGCTCCTAGTTATGCTTATCCTTTTCGCTTCCAGCTCGCGAAGCAATCGAGGTTTTTTATAGCTTCGGAGGCTGATGACATAGCCCGGGATTTCTTTTTGAGTGTTACCCGCTTCCCTTCAGTTCGACCACACAAGGCGAAAAAACTCGCCTCGAAAATTCGCCCAGTGGTAATCGAATCCACGCCCTTCGGCAAACCTTGTATCAGCAGGCAAAAACTATACCCACTGAGCTAAGGAGCCCGGTATCTATACGTTTGGTTTTTTTTTCTCTACTCCACCCCATTCGGACACTCGATGGTAACCGCCGCTAGGCATTGCTTAGGCGAGGCCGGGGTTAGTTGAGCATTTCTGATACTTCTATGATAGTCGTTTTTTCCATGCATACCCCATCGGTCGCATAGTGATATGCGACGATTAGAGGTTCAGGGACTAATCTTTTTTCTACTTGGTGAACCTCTGATCCTGCGCAATGCTATCTCTCGATTGTCGTATCCCCTTTTTCAGAGCTGTCTTTTTTGCGTGGTCACACATTGCCATCGTCTCTTCCCGAGTTAAGTATTTCTTATAACTCGCTATCTAGTGCCATCTTGTGAGTGTGGTTCTTGCTTCCGGCGCTACCCTGTGAGTTATTACTACACTCAGGGGTTTTTTTGGTGATGTGTACTCATCTTTTGTTAATTTATCTTGCTTAACATTCAAACAGTTACAGTACTCACTATAACTGTTAAATATTTCGTAAAAACAAACGAATTTAAAAGTGATTTTTGTTTTATAATTTGTATACAAACAACTGACATAAATTATATATTTACGATACAACTTTCGAAGACATAATGATTAGAGCCCGTTCTTGGCCCCAGGTACAATACATTCAGTGACCCCAAAAACCCCTGAGTTTCGAGTTTTGACGAGATATGTTGAATATTCCCATAAAACTCCAGGAGACGAGGTATATTCGGCCTGCCCTGGTCCCAGATACATCATGGTACATTTTCGTTGTAATATTCGTTTCCGGCGACCCCAAAAACCTCCGAGTGTCGAAATTAGACTCATTTTTACTGATACTTATTGAAATACACATATTGACAAAATTATAAGTTCAAGTTTCATTTTTAAATGCGTTTATTTCATTTATGGATGCAAATTTTCGTCGAACATCGAACATCAATGTTCCCTCATTCTAAAAATATCATATTCTACGGATGCAGGATTTATATTATTACCTATACTAACTACGTTTGCAATGGCAAATACGCCACAATCAAAATTATTTGTTTGTGCTTGAACGTTTTCAAATAATATATATGAATCGTTCTTATTGGGAAATAACTTATTTATATACAATTTAATATCATCATGCATGTACTTTTTATTTGCACTATCATATAAGTGAATTATTCGTTTACTGTAATAAATAGCTATCCAGTGATCTGCTACGAATGGACCACTAAATAATATTTGCACATACGATCTTTCTATATTGGCAGGTACAATACATTCTAATCTCTGCAATAAAATTGGTGATTGCATCTCATAACATGAGTATAATTGTAATAATTGATTAAATTGATCAACATGCTCCGTAGCCAATTAACTCTCATAACCAGACGACAACACAATCTTTTTATCGGCCTCAGACAGCATGATTATACGCATAATGAATCGAGGAGCGCGTGTCGCGCTCCACATGGCAAGTATGACAGTAAAAAACATAAAAAAAGCAGCGCGGACACGCTCTCCTCATATACTTCGTATTTTAGAACCTTAACTTTCTTTGCATTTTCTTTGAACATAGATAAGCGATATCAAAAATCTGAATACACCATCAGATTCATCGGAAAAAATCCAATCGATATGACGTATTTGGGCATTCGAATAAATACACATTACGGACATATAGAGAAAAAATAGTTCCAGTTCTCACGTTTTCCGCGGTCTCACGTTTTTTTCGCAGTCTCACGTTTTCGTGTTTTATCGGTGCGTGTTTACGCGTTATATTTTCTGGTGTTTTCAATTTTTCGTGTTTTGAAGGTAAACTTTTAAGCAATAAGATAATTTTGCATTATTTTATTAATATCAAGACTGTTGACTGCCTCAATTACAGTAAATAAAGAACAGGTCTCACTTTTTTTTGTAGTCTCACGTTTTTGTTAGTCTCACGTTTTTGTGTTCTAACGCTGCGTGTTATTATTTCTGGCATTGGTATTTTTTGGTGTTTTTTGGTGACACTACGGCGCTCTGACGATTTGCTATCTCAATCATCAGATCGGATTATCGATTTTTCTGAAGATGATATTAATTGAAGTAGAGGCCTTTAGTACCGTGGTCTCACGTTTTTCGTAGTCTCATGTTTGTGTATGAATAAATAAAAAAATATATATATAAAAAATATCGATCGATCGATCGATCGATATACGTGATGTCGCGTAGATGTCGCATATATCATCAGCCCCGGGTGGCTCGCTCGACGCACTAGGTCGGAATCCGACCTAGGCGATGACTTTCGCCGGGAAGTGGTGATGTCACTGTACGAAAAGCGCTTTCAATGGAATGAATTTATTTTAATAATTATATTTTTTTATAAACATAATTTTATGAAAATTATTGCATAAAAATTTTTTTTTGAAAAATGTTTTTTTCCATGAAAATTTTTTTTTGAAAAATTTTTTTTTTTCATAAAAATTTGTTTTTGGAAAAATTTTTCATGAAAAATTTTTGTTCAAATTTTTTTTTGAAAAATTTTTTTTTTCATAAAAATTTGTTTTTAGAAAAATTTTTTTTTAGAAATAATTTTTTTTGAAAAAAATTTTTTAATAATTTATTTTTTTAATAAATACATAATTTATGTAAAAAAGACAGGTAATCAATTTTTTTCATCGCCAACTTATACAATTTTTTTTTTTACATTTGATTAAAGAAATAAAATAAAATTTTTTCACATTTCATCAAACAAAATATAGCATAAATTTTTTTTTACATTTCACTAAACAATTCAAAAATAATTAATTTTTTTAATAAATACATAATTCATGTAAAAAAAACAGGTAATCGCCTTGTTTTATAGCCAATCCCTATATGCCGCGGAGGCAACGTAAACAATTTTTTTTTTACATTTGATTAAACAAAATAAAATAACATTTTTTTACATCTCATCAAACAAATTGAATATTTTTTTTTCTTTTCTTATTGTCTTCGTTGTCTCTCGTTTATCGCCTTGATCTTCTATGCTCTGTGCGATTTGCTCTCGTTTCGCTCCTGGCGTTGGAGATTATCCGATGAAAAAAGTCGGCGCTATCTCTTATCGCTTGTTTGTATGGATTATAATAATTCCGGAAGTATGCTTGACTATCGCTATTACCACCTCTGCGCGTTGGTCGCCTACGAGAGTTGTTTCCTATGAAAGGAAGAAAGAAATAAATCAAAAATTAATTTTCGAGCAGTTTGAAATCGATTTATATATTTTATGTATTCTATCAACCTACTCGATGCTGATTCTCCTTCACTGGAGGAATCGGATAAGTTCCTGCGTCCGTGACGTTGCTCAACGAGACCATGTTGTTGTTGTCGTCGTCGATGTTGCAGTACTCGATGCTGCTGCTGTTGTTGTTGTTGTTGTCCGAGAGGCAGCTGTTGCTGCTGCAATTCATTACGTTGGTTTTGCTGATTCTGTTGAAGCACAGGCTGGTCGTTACGCATTGGTAAGTCAGCTTGCTGTTGCAAAGGTTGCAGTTGATTATGTTGTTGTTGTCCTTGCCCATCTTGTTGCTGCAGAGGCTGCTGATCGTTTTGTATGAGCTGGCCAGGTTGTAGATGCAATTGCTGCTCGTTTCGTCCAAGCTGGCCCTGTGGTAGATTCTGTTGGCGTTGATCTATATACCGCTGCTGTTCTTGTAACTGCTGCTCGTAACGAACAATTAAGGCTTGTTGTCGTCGCATCTCTCCCAATACACCAGCCATTTGCGCCTGCATCACATTTAATTGCCGCTGCAGTTCCGGAGCCTGTCTAATCGCCAACTGCTCCATTGGCACATCAAGATTTTCTATTGATAATAATGTATATTCTGACACAATATATCTATATTTCATATTTTGGCGCTGCTATGCCAACTTAATAATAGTAAACTATCTCTACAATTATGTTGCCACTATTAGTCGCAAAAGACACGACTCTCACAGCAATGCTCACTTGCCTCTGCGCTCTGTATAGCTCGCACACGACTTACAATAAATCTATTATTTTGTACACTAATCTTTATTTTGCAATCCTGCCCAATTAACAATTCTTCAGGTTATGGGCCCAGGAGTACGCAGGTGTAAATATTTTCAAAAAAACAAGTAAGTGTTTTTACTTTCGGTGCCAAAAAAGTTCGCTCTTGGAGCAAAGAGGTTAGAAACGGCCCTCGTGCAAAAAAGTTGACTAACCTCAAAGTCAGAGAGATGGAACGAGAATTGGAGCAGATCGACAAACTAGTAAATAGAGATCAGTGGCCTTTGTGGAAATTCAAAATAACAATTACGCTAAAATCATACGACGTGTGGGGTGTAGTGCAAGGCAGTCAAGAAAAACCACAGGCATTGAGTGACACGGCCACGAGTGCACAAATCGCCAGCTATGAAAAAGAAAAACATGCCTATGAAAGGGCCGATGGTATTGCACAAAAAATCATAGTAAAAACGTGCAGTGATAAGGTGTTGATACACATTTTAAACAGCAACAGTGCTAAAGAAATGTGGGACAAACTTATGGTGCTTTATGATAGAAAATCCGAAGTGGCCGTCAACACACTGCAGCAGTCCTGGTGCAACTATGTCAAGGATCCTGCAGATGATATCGACACACACATTTCCAAGATAGAGAATATGGCCTTTAAACTCAACGTCATGGACCTGAAGTG